CTCAAATACCTTAGAAAAAATAGACATTTTGGATATGGCCCTATAGTTTTTAATATTATTTCTTTTTCCACTCTTAAACACAGGAGTTATATAGCTTAATTTCCACATATCAGGAAACCGTCCCAACTCTAAAGCCTTATTGAATATTTTACATAATATCTCTGAAAGAATACAACTACAATTCTTAACAAACAATACTGGGATGTCATCTGGACCACAACCCAATCCATTCTTCAATGAATGTATCTTGTTAAATATATCAAGAGGGGTAATTTGAACTGAACTGATACTGCAATTAGACAAACTAGATAAATTAGAGACAGGAATGTTTCGATCACTCTCAACACTCACCTCAGTATAAACTGAGGAAAAACTATCCTTAAAGAGATTGACAATTTCATGAGGTGTGCTACCTTCATGCTCATCAAAAAACATAGAACTGGGATATCCACGATTTTCATTTTTCGATCGTACATATCTCCAAAATCCATTTCTGTCCTGTGCCTCGGACTCGATTTTCTCAATGAAATTCCTATGGCTGATATGAGAATAAATTTTACATTCTTTCCTAATTTCTGAAAAAACTCTATAATCCTGAGCGGACATGGTATTTTTATAGTTTTGATGTGCCTTTTTTTTAGACAAAATTAAATATTTTAGGTAAATGATTATCCATCCATCTTGGAAATTTTGCTGTTTTTCTTTTTGAAATGGGTGTAAAGATCTCAATAGCATGATAAATTTGATTATAGAAAGTTTCGACAGCAGAGTTTATATCATCCATATCAACAAAAGAGTCCCAATCCACACAAGACAGATAAATATTTAAATCCCTAAAATTACAATTCTTATAATCTAGAAAACAATAATCATACTCCAACTTATTAGAATTAATATTTGAAATCAATACATCAAAAACCAAAGCAGGATGAGGTGTGTCCAAATTCAAAAGTGGATCGTCTGATATTGAGGTACATATAGTATTTTTAATACCCATTTAGAATAACCCCATCCTTCTTTATCAATCACGAATCAGATGAAACAAAAAATTACCAACAAAAACGAACATCGATTACTAATACGTCAATTTCGTGTACAAATAGGAAATTCCTAACCTAATTTTATCTGTGCGTTCAAGAAGCGACGTACGTTTTGTCACTAGAACGACTGGTACTTCTAAATAGGTATTAAAAATTCTATACATCTTTATTACTACAAAATATCAAATCCAGAAAGTTCCCATAAATATTAGAAATATTATTCACTTGATATAAGCTGTGGAAAGCCATGCAGTCAGCCAACTCTGTGGTTTGTTCAGATTGTTATTAACCCAATCTCTCAGCTCTTTATTTTTTATCTTTCTTCAATGAAGATTATTGTAAAACAAGACAAACTGTAGGCTGTAGGTACATCAGCTGGTGATCGGGTAAATCGGATCAGCGTTTCTGTAAAGACAGTTGGACTGGGCTACGTCATCCACATAAAGTGAAATGACGGCACTGAGACCTTGTTTTTGCAATAACCTCGCATTTTCATAAAATTCTTCTGGAAACTTCTTGGAAATATTCTTGAAAATTCTCGGAAATATTCTTTTGAGAGTTTTTGTTTGAAAGTTTCCGGGAATATTCTCATTCAGGAGAACGTTTCCATTTTTTATCGGCGAATATTCTCGGAAATTTCCCAATGTTCGCGAATATTCGCATGGGAATATTCTCGATTCACATCACTATCTGGAAGTACATGGAAATTATTAGGAAATAGATACATTGAAGTATTTGTAAATTGCTATAATTTCCGAGATAACTTCCAACCCCATTTTTAAAGTATTTTTGGGCATTTTCATTGAAATCTCAAGAATTGTGTGCATGTTTGTTCTGGTTTGTTCTAGTTCAATGTTTCACTTTGTTCTGGTTAAGTCTCGGGTTAAGTGTTGTAGTAGTAAGTAGTAAACATGCTTTATTGTCAAAGATTAAATTGATCCTTATTGACAAAGCTAAGTCTTAAATATATCAAAATGAAAAAATCCATTAAGTGGACACAAAAATCAAAATAAAGATTCCAATTTTTTTTGGTCAGTTACCCTAATTTTAAGGCAACTGAAACACCGACCCCTATTTTCTTATGTATTCACATAGTAATAATTCTGAGGCGACTGGAACATATTGTAACGTATATGTAAAGATTGATTGATTGATTGAACTGTTTGCTTGAGAATTATGGGAGATGCAACAAAAGTATTACTTAGTGGTGAATAGAAAACATTTGATAAAAATGTTAAAATGAACAGGAAATAAAATAATAAACCAATTTTCCAAGTAATCTATGTCTCCATTTCTGCATGGTGTTCAGTACAGTGGACAGTTCTTCTACTTCATTCATATATTTTTCCACCTCATACTGACAATATACCTTTCCCGAGGGGTTAATCCTCAGGTTAATCACTCCCCGATATCGTGTCAGAAATTCGTCCGAAATCCCCGAAATCTTTTCGAAATCCTACCGGAATCCCCGAAATCCTTCCGAAATCTACGAAATCACTCCGAAATCCGCCGAAAACTCTCAGAAATCTTTCCGCAGACCAAAAAATACTAATACACTTCCGAACAGTCTAAAATCAAATTAAAATATTTGCGAAATCACCTGAAATTCTCCGAAATCACCCGAAATCCTTCGAAATCACCCGAAATCAACCGAAATCCCTCAAAATCGCTCTAAATCTGAAATCTTGTCACAGTGTATAATTCCTCAAAATCTTTCCGAAATCCTACCGAAATCCTACCGAAATCACCCGAAATCCCTCAAAATCGCTCTAAATTCGAAATCTTGTCACATTTTTCCTTAGTGAATAACACCTCGACCTTTCCCTCTTGTTCCAAAAACAAAGAATGTGCATCTTGGGATGTCATAGAAAACGGCAGCACCATATATTGTTCTGTTAGCGTTTTGGACATCTTCAATTGGTTTTTTCAGGGCCTACTTGGTGTATCTTCACTGTCCGCACTTTTGGAGGTTCTATGGATATAATTCCTGACCATATTTGTTCTATAGACCGTCAGATAGTGACATATTTAGGTGCCCTGTTTTCGCATACAAGCCTCGAACAGGGTCTAAAAATACATCGATTTTGAATAGGGTGAAGGTATTTTTACAAATGGCCCCTGGGGATAACGTATGGAAAATTCGATTTTCCTTAACAGAAATGAAAGACGTCCTAGTGTCCATATTTTCTCCCAAGCCGTATTCACCAAAGGATTAATTAATAGAACCTGGCTTTGTGAAATCAAAGAAGGGGATGTTGCACGTGGCTAAAGGTTTGAAATGACGGCGAAATCTAAGGAACAATCGAGATTTTGGGCGATTTTTCCACACAAGTTCAAATCTGCAACTTCGGTAGCAAGAAAACATATTTTCTTGAGTGTCGCTAACGGAAAATTAAGGGTAATGTAAGTAAAATCGAATTTTCCATATGTTATCCCCAGTAAAAATACCTTCAACCCGAGCTTCAACCTACTCAAAACCGATGCACTTTTCAACCCTCTTCGAGGCTTTTATGCGAAAATGAGGCACCTAAATATGTTACTATCTGACAGACTACCTACTAGGGCAATCGAGAATATGTAATACAATGTTAATTTCAGGTGGGACGGAACATAATATGTTCCAGTTGCCCACATCATATAGGTACGTTCCAGTTGCCTTTGTACGTATTTTTACTGGGGCAACTGGAACCCAAGCTGTGTTTCCATTACTTGAAATTCTAAGCTAAGAACAAACCTTGCTTACCTTCCCAATATCTTTCTCTTACAGAAAAAGACATCATCCATTTTTATCCAAGAGACCAAAGGCAAGATTTTTGAAGATAACAAAAACAAAGTCACAGTCTCATAATTTATTTGATTAGCTACACATGTTTCGCTCAATAGAGCATCATCAGGCCTAAAACAATTTCTCTTACAGTTAAACATGCTCAATGCAATATTATTAACTGTAATCACTCACTAATCATTGATTGAAATCCAAGCTTCTGTCACTTGGTGTTATGATACACTTTGTAAAAGTAACAAATTTCAATGTTTTTCTCAGAAAATAATCGGGCGTCGTTCTGTCTACTACAGGCAGGGTATGAATGAGACACACTTGTAACAAATTTTTATGTGTGGAAAACTCAAATTCCAATAATAAACCAAAAACTCGTACGCTGTGTCAGCTAAGCAAGTTGACCTTATTTGGAAATACGACGGGGAATACTTGGAAATACTGTCCAAATTTGAGAAGTATTCCCAGAAACTGAAAATCACTGTACTTTTTTTCGTGAGTGGTTTACCTCTAGGTTTTAGTGTATAGTTTTCTTAAATCTAATTAGTTATATGGAATATTTTTTCAGTAGCATGCTATACCTATATTTAATTTTTGCATTGGGACACCAATGCACATGGCATGCCCATTAAGCTATTCCTATACCCCCGCGTCTATCACTCATTGGGTATAAATTTGAATACGGATTTTAATCTTTTTTGCACTTTAATATAACTTTAACTTATGAGTGTAGGAAAATGGAACAACTGTAAAATATAAGGGCGGGATTGTCTTTTCCTCTGTTCTCTCGCTCCTTCCTGCGGTCCCTCTTTTTGGTCTCGTGTCTGCGTCGCTGTTCTTCAGATGTTAGGAGTAGACGGTAGAGATTACACAGTAGACTGTTTTGACGGACGTACTATTTCATATAGGTACCGGGTGATTGTCTATATTTTGTGATTTTGAAAATTCCCTATTGCTCGCGCGCCTTTTTTCCTTGTATCGGCGAAACCATCCAATCGACCCCCCTAGTTTTTTTTTTTAAATCAAACAAGAGTGATAGAGGTACAACATATCAAAAATTCAAGCAATTTCACCGAAACCACTTTTCAATGTAAATTGTGCGTGGTCCTTTTGCCTATTCAACAAGCGGTACTGAGAAATTGCTGCCGACTATTGGAAATTATTTATGCTGTTGTTTTTTGCAGGAATGATGAAAAAACTGCCCAGGACTATAAAGTTCAAGGCGGCTCAGTTCTGCATTTAGTTCTGGCACTGCGTGGAGGAGTAACAAAAATGTGATCTTTTTAGGAATTCTGTTTCTATGATTGGTCATCTCAAAACTGATTTAATTTAATTTATACTGTTGCCCTTTAGTTACTTTATAATTTAAGTTAGGAAAAGAATAAAATAAATGTGATGATTTCTTCACTTCAAATAACAAGTTGAAAAATAAAACAATTTTTTTATGCAAATTTTTTTTATTCAATAACATTTATCACACCAATTTTAATATACAGAACATGGAAGTGTCCATAAATGGCTACTCTATAACATAATAATATGGTTCTGCAAAACTTGGAAAATTTTAAAATTATGTACAAGTTGGAATTTTGTCTTATAAATTTAGTTAACATAGTGAAAATAGCCATTTATGGTGAAAGACCAAAGTACAGGCGTTTTATCAAGCTGAATATTTTGTTGATTGTTGAGTAGTTTTACTATGAAACTCCTGTACCATAATGGACAAAAATATACATTAAGTACAATATAACCTGTAAAACTTCTCTAAATATCTGGAAGACAAAAAATATACATAAAATACACAACAATATACTTAAACGAAATTATTTTTTAAATGGCTAACAATTTTATATTTTGATTAATTTAATAATACTGCTAAGAGTGGACATTGTATTTGACTTATTTTTAATATTTATAATATCTTAACAAAGCTAACACTACGAAAATTGTTTATATAAAATATATTCATATGAGCATTAAAATTAGCTTAAATTTAATTGAACATTTAATACAAAGTTCAGGAAAGGGTTTTTACTCTTGATTTTGTGCATCATAACATTTATTAATTTAATATTAATAATAATTGTCGTCAATATTTGGTATACATTTGTTACACAGTTTGAGCTTGGCGCATAAAGGACTTTAATACAATCCAGATTTAACTGTACAGATCAGCTTTATTTGAAGCTGAATGCACCCAAAATTGGATTGTTCATTGCATTACCAGACAAAATAACATTTCTTGCAATGATTTCTGAAGATGGAAGATTTCTTTTGAGCTTTCCAGGGAGCTTATTGAGAAGATGACTTTACTGAAATATGCTATATATTTGCTTTTCAGATTTTATTAGCTTTCATATAATTTCGTAAGTGTCGCGGTATGAAAATTCTCTGGCCTACTTGGCCAATCAAATTTGACACATTTTCCAATGTATTTTTCAATGTAGCAATACCTGTGATGAGTTGTAGAACAATCTGAACGATAGGTACTTTGCTTGGTACTGATTGTCGCCTTATAGAACTTCAAAACCATAAAAATAATATCATCTTGTGAATTTCATTACATTTCAAGACGATATATTATTGTCGCATAACTTTACAGTATCCAATAGAAAAGTTTGACTGGTACTTGTAATGTGTGCATTCATTTTCAAGTTACAGATTCCTTCATACATATCTACTTACTGATGTGTCTGTCTACTTGAGTATCAATGGTATCTTTAGGTATTTAGTTGTAGATACATACTAGCAATTTTCCTGAACTTAATTTAATATCTTCAAGTAAAGTATCAACATTTAAACCATTTCTCTTCATAAACGGAATGGGATATCTTAAGAACGACAAATTTATTGGCACAGTCAAGTGAAATATATAATTAGTGTATATTTGCTTTAAAAATCCTATAGGTACACCTAATAAATATGATGATTAGCTACAGCTCCACGTTAAGTATCTTACTACCCTTTTTTTTACTTAAATCGCAATTTCACTAAAGTCATAAGAACAATGCAATTATTTGTGACATTTACTAACTGCCTTCCGGTTAATCATATATACTTACTTTTGAACTTTCAGCTAAACACTCAGCGACAGTTTTCATAATAATTTGTACTAAGAATTAACTTATCCTAACTAACCGTCTGCCAGACTAGGAGTTACCCAGCCGTATTTGTCATGTGTTCGCACTAGTGACCGAAAACTCTCCTCGGCTGTTCTCCTGCTAAACACTTTTTGTCCCTTACTTTTACGTTGTATCCTGCCTTGACCTTTCACTACACTAGCTGCAAACTGCATTATAACCGCTTCAACTGTGTACGCTGAAGCCCAGCCTCTAGGTGTTAGTAGTTCCATGCAGATTGCACCACCTAAAAATTTCGTTAGAATTTGAAAATTTTCATCAAAAGTTAAGTTACTACTTCAAAGTTTCCACTAGGGGAACATTAAGCAACTTGTGTGTTTCTATTGATTGTTGCTTAATAATGTTTCGTTTCAGAAACAAAGCCTTAACGCCTGGCTTTTTCAATTATCAACTTGCCAATTAACTAGTAAACTCCTAGTATAACTATTCTATTATGAAACATCGCACTATTACCTAAAGTCTCGTTTAATCGTTAATTGGAAAACTAAAAGTACATATATATCTTGGAGATTTACCTTCCATAACAAATCCTTTTTCGATCCTAGGGGAAATAAGTCTCATGAATGGCGGTGCAAATGGAAAATTGTCTGGAAAGATTAGGTGCAGCAATATGTAGCGAATACCAAGTTCAGCCATGTCTTGCATGAGATCGCTTTCGTGATCCACTTTGTAAATTTTCACGTACCATTCGAATAGATTGTCTTCGACTAGTTCGACCGAAAACACGGGTTCCTGTTTAGAGTTTTGTAATCTAGAAAAAACAATTTACGTGTGAATAAGTGTATTATAGTGTTTTTGCGGTTACCTTTGTAAATCGTGAAATTCTTTCATCAGTCTTTTGGCGCGTACAGTTTTGTTTTGGGTGGCAGTCTCATCTTTTTTATTTTTGGCGCTGAATCCCGGCGATGGTGCTTGACTTGAGCTGGCTGGTGATACGGTATCCTTATAACCTGGGAACATAATATAACTTATTAGGATATCATTTACTAACTCTTCATGAATGTTAGAGATAATTATTATCTTCAGTTTTGTTAAATTACGGATAAAGTGGCGGAAATTGGACAAGATTTTTCTGATCGTTAAAATTGAAACTTCAAAAAAAATGGCTTGACCCATCCCAAAATCCCAAATACTGTTTGTGATCCTGATGGTTCAAAAAGTAATTAAGTATCTGAACTGTTGACCGTGACAGTGACTGTTGAAAAAGCTCTGAGTAGAACTGAGCGATTTGTGGCATTCCTAGCAGCCATGAACGAAGAGTGTTATGCTTTACTTGCTTTGGTGTGGCCTTCGAATTTGATTTGAACAAAGACCAACTTGATGATGTAAGGTAATCTAATGTCTGCTCAGCGACTCTGTGTCTACGGGGCAACGGTAAGGGGAATGCAGTTGTAAAAAAAAATGGCTGATTTCATTCATAAAATACCCAGCTGCGTGCGGAATTTTTTGGAAGTGTTATCGTATTGCAACTCCTACACGAAAATCGAAAATGACCAAACCCCCGCCACTGGATATTTCAATATAAATCGATATTCCAAGATGGGAGGATACAATGACGGAAGCCCTGGCCAATAGCGAGACGTAAGGTGACGTTAGCCCATTGACAACGACATGGTTCCCCGTGGCAACGGCCATCCTGCCAAAAACTCCACCAATCAGGTTCATCCAGGCCGGATGCTTGCCAAATTGTCAAAAACTGATGGTATCTTTAGAAAATGTTTATTTTTTACAATGGACAAAATTGAAGAAATCAGTTATTAGAATAAGAATAGATCTAACAACCACGTTGAAATATTTAGCGTTTTATTGGTATCTATATTTTGTTATTAAAAAATGGATTTTCAAATGAACTATACTTCATGCCTGGTATTTTCTCTTTTTAATAATTAAACGTGACAACATGGCACATTTACGTCCGAATTCCTTCCGTAGACTCAGATCCGCTGGGCAAACAATAACAGAGAAAGAAAATCTACATATTACAACCAAATGGTTTTTGCGAATCAAATAAATTTTGCTTCATTGTGTGGATTTAGACAAGCTAGAAGCTGAATGAATGCCAAACAAATGTGGTCTGATACAGTCAAAAACTGATTAATGTTTCATTTCAAGGTGACTATGATGTTGGAAACGCCATATTTGTCTTGTCTTGTCTTGTCAAAATTGGTCTGTACATTTGAAAATACCTTGAAGAAATTGGACATGTAGATTGTTAAGCTGTTGACACCCCAGTTTTGCTTGGCTAAAAACTTTCGAAGGATATGTCACCAAAAACCGAAGGAGATGCCTGAAGTTCCATACAGATAAACAGTTGGAAGCTTGCTGTTTGCTGCACTGTTATATCCTTAGGTATATTTTTAAGGTATTTGTAACTGGTATACGATACGACAGATATTATTGAAATGTTCTTTTTGGATGAAGACAAATTCAAGCAATTTATTGCCGTTTTGACTGCTTCAGGAGTATGGTAGGTACCTACTAAACTTCAACATATTTGAGGACAAACAACAAATTTATCAGGTTCCAATTCCACTTCTTTTCTGTTCTCATTCGAGAATTTTCACCCCAAGAATAAAGTTACAGGGAACGAAAATTATCTGAAGCTCAAGAATGCTTTTGATGAAAACAAAATTGTAGCTCAGATGTTACTTAATTCTTTGGGGTCTACGACTTACACTACAGTACTACCTATATCTTCGAAAAAAACAGATTAATTCACCTGTGATCAGTTAATCGAGTAGGTACCTAGAAAAGCACCAATGCTTCAAGAAAAATGTTATGGATTCCCAACATAGGTTTTTGTCAACTTATCAATATATTTTCGAATATGTGGCTATATTAAGACATGATGTGATACTTTAGACTGCGATTTTAATGTTGCCGATATTTTTCTCATAGTACACAATTTATGACCATTCGATTCATCAACAGTTGCTTCTTCAAAATACCACGGTTGATTTCGACGAACTATTGACAAAAGCACTTAAGGGTATTGAATGCGCCGTTTAAAATATATTGTAACGCACGTCGAACTATACGACTATCCAACAAGTTAATACTAATAAAGATGCGAGGTTCATCGCGATTATTGCATTGGGCTACTGTTGGGCCGGCTGGCGCTGGATCCTTTATGATAGCGATTTAAAATTTATCGCAAAACAGGCGGAGGAAAGAGCCATAGGGTTTGCTGCGGGTATAACAGAGACAGGCAAAATGACAAGAAGAATTAATTAAATTTCTACAAAAAAAACTAGATAATTTTTGGAATTCTGGTTTGCGCCATTGTATTGCTAACACACATAAGAATGGCGCTAACTAAAAAAAACACCATAAATTGATTAACTTTCTTGTTTTTTTTTTCAGTTTAAATTACATTTTTGTAATTTTTCGAGAACTTGTTTCTATTATCGGATTTCTAAAAAGATAGCGCCATTCGTCCCTATATTATAAATCGAATGTAAAAAAGAAAGTTGATATAACTTCAATTGTTAAAAAATTAGGTTGAAATTGAGAATGCAATGCATTCCTTGTTTCATTCATCTCATTCCCACTAAGGAGTATTAATCGGAGCGGAAGAATACAATGATAGACTGCGTTAGGTGCTTCGTGCAGGAAAAAATATTTTGGCATTGAGGCGCATCCAATACCCTTAAGACTCCAGATTTAACTAGTAGGTAAAGAGATATCAAATACAGTAAACCTGAAGTTTGACCCCATCAATAAAGTAAATCGGATTCGTGTTTTCAAAATCGTTCACGTCACGAAATAAACGGCAGAAGTCAAGATCACGTAAGTATAAATAATTCTGAATTGGTTAGCCTATGTAACCGTTGTGGCAGAGATAATCATCGTGTTAAAGACTGGAAAACAGATCCAGATACATCAAAATGCGCTGATTGTGGGAAATGTGCGAAAAGTGTGCATTTGTTCTCTTTTGACTAATAACAATAGACATAGACATTCATCAAGTGAACGATCAACTCGTGAAAGAAAATGATTTACAATGCGAGGACAATTTTGCTGTATTGATCGAAGGAAAATCCCAAAAGTTTGGATTCGAGTCGGGTACACACTTCTACCAGTTTCTAATTACAATAGCACTTGATTTGAAAATAGATTTGCAGAAATCGAATATTGCTTTTCGATTATATACGAGAAATGTGTTAGGTATATCCTATTGGAAAAACGTAGATACGCTTTTGTTAAACATAAAAATAAATCATGGACTGAAAAGCTCTACATCTAATTTATTCTAAACACCTAAGCTCTTATTTTGAATCACTTTTAGGTAGGATTTGGATCCGACATCTTGGATTCATCGCATGAAACAAATTGATCGTAGAATATCAAATACAAACCAGCCTAATACCGAGAAAATATGGAGGAAATAGTGCAACAGTTTTCAGAAATATTTGACGAAAGAATTTGTTTACTTCCAATTTATTCAATATCATTAAAACTTCCACCTGATGTTGAACCAACATTCCATGAAAAACGAGAAGTACCGTGTGCACTTCGAGAAAGAGTTGACAGAGAACTATATATTTTAAAAGCTGACGGTAAACGTCACCAATTGGGGTTCATCATTAGTTATAATTCCTAAACCAAATCGAGAAATGCGAAATTACCCGATTGGACGTATGGATGAAATCCTGAATAGTTTAGGATATTTCAAATACTTGTGTGTAAATATATTTACACCTCCAAGCAGACGATTGTAGATTGTGGGGGGGGGGGAGGCGTTTCGGCTTTCCAGCCGCTCAGCACTGCTACCTTTGCAGATATTTTGTACGTGACTCCACATCTTAAATTGTCTCCAGGAAGCGTAGACTTTTGCCGAAGGAAGCTATTTTTCTGGGTGACAGTTGGCCCACTTCTGGTGACAGTGTTGCCCCCTCGACGAACTTGAGCCTCTTGCAGAATTGGACTGGACATTGCTCTGCGGACTCTATTGCGTCTGAGCAGAATCTGCAGGAATCGTCTTCTACTGCTCTGCCCATTAACCTTAAGTGGTATTTCATCAGGCAGTGTCCTGTGAGCAGTCCTACGACGATTCTGATGTCTGGTCTGCTCATGTTTAGGAGCTAGTCAGCTCTTTTTGCCTGTCTTGTCCAATATGATAACAGTTGGTGTTTCTCCCATTTGTCGAGTTCTTCCATGATATGGCTTTTCATTAAGCCACAATAAGGCTCTGGTTCATGGTATGGTATTGGGGCACCTTCTTTTGCGAGGCCATCTGCTTCGTTTCCTTCTATGCCCCGATGACCAGGCAACCACATCAGCGTTACCTGGTTGTGTGTCGCTAGTGTTTTTAGGGTCTGTTTACACTCCCAGACTAGTTTCGAGGTGCATTTCAAAGCCTTTAAGGCTTTTAAAGCATCTTGGGTATCTGATGATAGTGTGAAGATATGTTTTCCTTTAAGACGTTGGTTGAGACTCTCTTGTGCACATATGTTTACGGCAAGCAGTTCGGCTTGAAATATTGTAATATGTTTGCCCAATGCCTTGGAGGGCTTAAAGTTAGGGTCGGAAATGCCCGGTCCAGCTCTTTCCGTTAGTTTGGATCCATCTGTGTACCACCAGAGATGCATTGTCTGCTTGTGGTAATTCGTTATTCTCCCATGATTAGCGCTCGTGTATTACCACTGCGAATGGGATCTCTAAGTCCAATCTGACCATATTATTATGTGGTCGCTTGGTTTGCTGGCATTCTCCAGTTTTATTAATTCAAAGATGCGCAGATGTCCCCTCAGATCATCAGGTTTGAACTTCTGTTTGGAATAGCCTGTGAGCGCTGAATATTGTCTCCTTTTTTACACATAGGTGAAGTGGAGGCTTTCGCTCTAGGGCTGCGGTGAGGCAGGTCGACATTGCTCCCGTTATTCCTAGGCATATCAGCCGTTGTACCTTGTTTAGCACGATCTGAGCGGTGACTTGCTGAGTTTTGGGC